TAGTCTACCTTGTGCAGTGGAGGAAGGACTTCATCAGAGTTTTGAAAATTCACATATCCAGGAACACTGTGGCAGTCCTGGCGGCAAATTTAGCATCATTTATCAGTCATGATTGACAGGGTCCAGTTCTTATCACCCACATTGGTGTGTGCATGAAGGAGGAGACCTCCTCATTCTGGTGACTTTAATGAAACAAAGATGACCTAAGTCTCAGGCTCTGTTACCTCAAAGCAGAGCAAGATGAAGTCCCTTCAGTCACACAAGTATTTTTGAAGTGGATGTGGTTAGAGGGGAAAGATCTTCATTGTGGGAATAATTCAGAAGCCCACATGCATATAGGGGGTGATCTGAGGATCCATTGATCCTGGTCACCTTGAGAAAAATGGAAATTCTGAGATGACTTTTATAAAAACCAGGTATTCTTATGAATTTCCTTAAACTGAGAGGGACTGCCTTGGGTATTATTTGTTATAGCAGAAGGGCCTGACAGCTACTTTAATCAAAGTGGTCTTCTGATAATTAGTCATCAAAAAGGTACAGTGTGAGATGCCTTGAAAATAGGAACAGTTTGGGAAACCCATATTCAGATGGGAAACTTCTGAGGTAAATCTGAACTGTGTTTCTTATAGAAAAAGTGCCTGACTATGTTTGACCAAATAGCGAGATCCACTCACCCCATTGTGCAGAAGAGAAAATGCTAGTTTAACTTGAGTGGTATGGTTCAGCATCATTTGCTTCCTACTGTGTTTCCAACTTCCATGATCCATGTATTGCATCAACTGTTGGGAAGAGTACAAGAAGCAATTACAACACTCTTTCAACATGATAAGTGGTTGTGCAAACTTCAATGCTTCCTCAGGGTTGTATTGATCTGTACTTAATCATCAATGTAAGTGATGTGGGATGTCCTTCTCTATACGTTTTTTTGGTTAATAAATAAATCTGCTTTGACCTATGGCAGGGCAGAATATAGCCAGGCTGAAAGAGATATAGAAAGAGATTAGGTGGAGTCCAGGACAGGCCATGTAGCTACTGAAGGAGAAGTACAGCAGAGTTTTTCCAGTAGGCCACAGCCGTATAGTGATACATAGATGAATAGAAATTGGTTAATTTAAGATGTAAGAGTTAGTTAAAAAGAAGCCTGGGCTAATAGGCCAAGCGGTGTTGTAATTAATATATTTTCTGTGTAATTATTTGGGTTTTAACAGTTGGATTTTAAGCACAGTCTTCATTTACATGAAATATGGGAACATTTTACATTTTTGACAGCTACATTCTAGGCAGATGGCATGATTATTAGTTTTAGTTTTTATCTTTTTTCCTCTACCTAGAATCTCATGAGATCCCATGGTTATAAAAGTGTTTTCATAGCAATCTTAGCCCCTGGGATTGGTACTAAGGTAATATGAGTCCAAGGGTCAAGTGAAATGTGTCCATGAAAGAAAGGGGATGCTCTAGGGCGTCCCAGGGTCAGTGGCTAGACCTGAAGCTCAATTAAATACAGAGTGAATGATTTGCAGCACCTTTGGTCATGGAAACCAATTTTGACACCCTGTTTATCACTGTGGAATATTCCAGGCTCCTTTTGGCAAAAATGGGATTTTTATAGTTTTTGTGGTTGAAGTTTGTAACCATAGCTCCCCCTTTCACTGTAAAAGCAAATCTGATTCTCACTTTTACAGTGTAAGTGGTGTAGGAATATTTAAGCTGGGACCTATTTATTCAAAGGTAAAGTATGTGGGTCTTTGCCACAAAATGATTACTTGAAACCACCTTAGGCAAATGGGGAAGATCTGCAGTAGGCTTTGTCCTAGGAGGGAGGTCTGACATTTTCATCAGTGAAGTAAAAGGAGTACGCTAGTCTGAAGAGAGTGGAAGCATTGAGAGTGGAAGCAGTGAGAAAGGGAAAATTTTGTGGCCTGTTTAGGGCAAGGGTATGAGTTGGAAAATGCTTGCACAGAGGGGAGAAATGTTATGCACCATCCTGTTGAAGGTGAATGTCCTTACTACCTTATTCAGTGAAGGAAGGTCCCTTTACTGCACTTCAGCTTCCAACTCTTCTTTAGAGCTTGCTCATCTTGTGTTGAGTCTTGGAGAGTTCAGGCAGCAGCAAGACCATTTTTCAGTGTGCCTGGATGGCTATCAACAGCTAGGTTTCCTCTTTTTTGAGGTTGTTTTCATAATCCGTGTATGGGCAGCAGTGATGGGGTCAGTTGATTTCTAGTCATTGGATTGAAAAAACATAGCTTAGAATTCAGTTTCCTTTTCTACATTTAGGACTGGGGATCACAACCTAGAGTGGATCAATGCATTTCCCTAGCCACCAGTGCCAAATATAAATGGTTTAAATCATTTTTATTTAGAGTAGCATATTTTCAAGGTACTTCAAAGACAGAATGGAATGCTTGAGAATTTTTGATGGAATCCTACAAGGTAGGATGCAATATTATTCAAAATAACATCTCTAACGTCACCTTGTGGTGGGGAAGAATTGTCTGTATTCTGTCAATCATGTTTTAAATAAACTCTGATTGGCCATGCATGAAGTATAGGTGGGTCAACCAGACAGGAAGTAGAGGCTTGGAAATGAGAACAGGAGTATTCTGTGAAGCAGGAAGCTCCCCCCACACTCCTGCCCAGACTCCAAAGAGGTGAGATGTGACCTGCCCTGATGAGAAAGGTACTAAGCCATGTGGCTAATATAGATAAGAAGAATGAGTTAATATAAGTTACAAGAGCTAATAGGAAGCCTGACCTAATGGACCAATCAGTTTATAATCTTATGGAGTTCTCTGTATGATATTCTTTGGGGCTTGTTGGCTGTGGGGTAGCAGGTGGGACATAAACTCCAATAGTCGGCTCTCATGTTACAACCTTGTGGAAGAAAAGAATGCATGAGTGTCCTAGAGTCAAAGACAATGCTTCCTAGTCTCCCTTGTACAGGTGGATAAGGTGTAAGTACACATTTTTAATAAAGGGAAGGATGATGGCCCAGTCTGACTCAGGGTAGTTCTCATGAAAACTTCAATAAAAAAGTATATATGAGGTCTCTTGAAAACAGGGGAGAACCTCTTCTCAGAATGGGAAGTTATGAGACTACCTTGAGAAAATGAGAAATCCCGAATGTCTTTATTCACAGGGAGGAGGGTTCCAGTCATATTTGATAGAATATGCAGTTCACCCATGATCAGAAGGGGAGGGTTCCATGGCATCTTGGGCAATGGAATAAGATTCTGGCACTGAACTAGCATCCAGCTATTTTCCCCAAAGCAAACATACATACCCAGTGTGAAATCTTTGAGAGTCTAAGGCAAATCTCATAACAATCTTCCAACAGGCTAAGTGGTTATGCAAGCATTGATGTTTCCTCAAGGTTGTGTTCAGCTGTGCATATTTGTGAATAAAAGAAACAGTGCATTTTTGATTACCAAACTTGGAAACACATGGCTTGATAGCCAATTTTCTCTTTCTAACTTCTGTCCTGTGATCTTAAAGCAGAAAGTTGTGAGATCCCATTGATCACATATGTGTTTATATGCTTATGACCCTTGATCAGAGGAGCCAGCTCTAAAGCAATCCTAGTTAGTAGAGGAATGTGTGAGGTCACCAACTTTAGAAGGGAAGCTTGATGGTTCTTTAGTCTTAGGGTAGACTAAAGAGCTGAAGGTCAGAGGGTGGAGGTCTTAGACATCCCTTCTATTCAGGGGTCAGTTTTGAGTGACCTTTCAATAGAGGTTGATATTTCAGATTTCCTTTTGTGCAAACTGAACTTCTGCAATCCTCTTCCTGGAAGAAAATAGATAATTGGTTCACAAACCTTCAGGGAAGACCATGAATGTCTGATACTTGCTTGACTTGGTAGTATAATGCACTCTTGGTCTGACACCACTGCAATGAGAAGAAAAAAGACAGAGTCACTTGGGAGGAATAAGAATATATAAGGATCACGGAACACCAAACAAATATTTTAGGGTAGGGCTCATTGGAAAATGGGGTTTAGGGAAATCTAAGTCTTAGAAGAATTATGACATCTTGTTCCATGTACTGAGAAGGAATAGGTGACTGATTAATAATAATAATAATAATAATAGGAATAGTAAAAATTCTGAGCCCAAAGTAAGAGAGAAAACCTCTGAGACACTATTGAAAAATGGGGACAGAATCACCTTTGGGCAGAGTGTGAAAATGTCAAACACAATTCTGTTGAAGGTGAATATCCTTGGCAACTTATACAGTGGAGAAAGTTCCCAGTACTGATCATAACCTTCCAACTCTTATTCATAGTTTGTGTTCCTTCTAGGAGAGACAAGGCAGCAACTATCTAGGTCTTCTTCCAAAGGCCTGGATGATTGTTCCTGGCTAGTTTATGTCCTGTAGTTTGTGTTCAGCAGTCCTTTTCTAGACAGAAATGTTGAAGTCTTGACAATTATATTGACTGATCGTAAGGCAGATGTCATGGGGTTCTATGCTCTGATGGTCAAACATGCCTATGGAACCTCAAACCAGAGTGGAGTAGTGTCCTTTGTTTATAGAGAGAGTCTCCCATGGACCTATGCCTGAACAGCTTGATGGAAGACCTATTAGGCCATTCATGGAAGATTTCAGGCTCCATGTTTGAAAGGGAGAATGTTTTGGGAAGTTAGGAAAGAGACCAAAGGTCCAGAAACCCTCAAGCAGAAGATGAAGCTCCAAGGTTACTTTGGGAACTAGAAGGATAAGCCAATATCTTATCAGGTCCAAATGTCCTCACACTATGGAATACCCATGTGCTTGGGGGCTCTGAAGATTGATTTCAAGCAGAGTGCTTTTTTTCCTTTTATAATTGATTTTTATTGAGCTCTACATTTTTCTCTGCTTCCTTCTCTGCATCTCCCTTCTCCTTCAATCCTCTCCCTATTTCCCCATGCTACCAATTTCCTCAGGAGATCTGCAAGGGAAGCAGAGTGTTTCTATACTGATTGGTTGGTAGTTGCTAGCCCTGTGTCCTCCATATGCCTTTGATCAGTAGTACAGGCATAGGAGACAAAGTGGGACCACTCCATTTCTGGTGAGAATCTTAAAAATAAAAGGGTTTAATCAGGGATCAGATTTTTACTGTTTTGTCCCAGGATATCAGTTCAGAGTGGTCTGACATCCCTTTGTTCATTTGGGCATGCCTGGACACCCAGATCAGAGGGGAAAGATTAACATCTTCACAGTTAGAGAAATAGAACTGAGGTTTCTGCAGATAAAAGTGGTTTTTCTGAAATGCCAATGTCAGAGAGTTCTTATTTGGAGTTTACATGACTAAAAGATGAACATTTGAGTGAGTCTTCATGTCACTGGCCTGGTCTGTATCCCCTTAATCAGGTGAGTTTCTATCAGTTCCCTTGAAAGGAAATGGTGTGTCTTAAGTCCCCCCTTTCAAGGAAAGTAGAATATAACCACCGTCCTTGACAGGGTATTTATTGTCAGAGGCTCTCATTGGATCAATATTGTGCCTACAGTTTACTGAAGTGCAAATCTGAGACCCATTAATTAAGAATAATGTCTGAGGTCCACTTCATAATATCAGAAATTATATGGGCCCCTCACACAAAAGGAACATCTAAGCCTTTGAAAAAACTGGGAAGATGTAGGACTCCCGTTTTCCAGGATGAAGATCAGATATCTCCTTGATCAAAGGGAGGAGTAAGTACCCTTGTGACGAAAGGAGTTTCTGAGACCCATGAGGCAGGGGAGATATGATCAGGATTTGAAAATCCCATAGAACCATGATAAAAATTCAATTGATTTCTATACCTCATAAGCTCCTAGAATTGCTTAACCATATAACTCTTCTTCATAGTTTAGAATATCCATATCTTTAGCTGAATCTGCAAGAGACCAAGCATCAATATCAGGATTCATTAAGATACTCAGGAGGAGGCACAGTGTGGTTTACTCCTAAGAATTCTATGCAGGCAAACGGGACTTGGTGTCACTGAGAAATCTATACCATGGCTACTTTACTTAAGGAAGTGTCATGGATTCCTGGATTTGTCTACTTATCTTGACTTCTATGAACTAACCACAGGGAAAAATGCTCATTTGTCAATGGTGAAATATTGCAGGTGCACTTCTTCAGAGGGAAATTTATGAAGGCCATTTGGGCCAAAAGGGTATTTTACTGAGTAAGTTATCACAGAAAGAAAATATTAAGGTTTTGGAAAGGAGAGAGTTCCCAAACCTTGTTGGACAAATGGGAATGCCACTGCTTACCTGCTGTAGAGGAGGAGATCCACGGAACTTGCTAGTCCTGCTCCAATTCTTCAGTGAACTCTGGAAAATTCTTTTCTCTGAGGACTCCTTTTGAGGCGTAATGACAGTCAGATGGTTCTTCTTACAAGTTGAATTATAGTCCCTAGGTCTGTTCCCTACTTAAACTGTGGATAGGCTGCACAGGTGTAGACATGGAGGACAGGCATATATCTGGTGTGCAGCATGAAAACAGATGATCTTAGATCCAGGGTACTTTTTATTCTTCTGCCATGCAACTTCAATGTAGAGTTCCATGAGGTTCTTTTGGTGGTCAGAAGTGTATTTACTGGCCATCCAGTTCTGAATGACACGCTGTAGTCTCTATTAGTTATTTGTTAGACCTGAGTAGGCCATGAACACAAAGAGAAGTTCCTATGTTTTCCTGATAATAGGGAGTCAATCTCAAGTACCTGTCAACCAAGTCTGAATTTTTGAGACCTTTTTCAGTCACAGGGCCGGTTCTGTAGCTTACTTCATCAAAAGGGTTTGTCTCAGACTCCTCCAGTAGAGACAAAGGAAGCTATGTTTTCTTGTTCAAAGACATCATGTTAGAGAAACCCTCCTTTGACAAAGTATGAAAAATCAGGGTTTACTGTGGTTGAAGGAAATAAATTTATAACCCTCTTGAGATGATAGTGCATCAAGGTGTAAGCTTCCTCAATTAGTGAATTAATTTAATTTTGAGGGGTATATCTAATACATGATGGAGTTGGTAGCTGGAGGTCTGAACTGTCCTGGTTCAGGAATGAATCTTACTCTCCAGTGTAATTTAGAAGAAATTCTATGGCTCATTAATTCTAAAGGGTTTGTATTTCTGGTCTTCTTGGAGCATTGGGGAAGTCTGAGACATCTTTGCTTCTCACATTACATCTCAGGCTCCCTTCAGCATTGAGGATGTGCACAAAACCCTTGTTATGAAGTTATAAATATGAGGTCCATTTGGGCAATTAGAGAATGTTTGAGGTCTCCTGGTTCTCAAAGGAAAGGTGTGTCAATCTTCCCTTGAACCCTGAAGTGGAGCAGACTGAAGCTTTTGTTGTTGACAGGTAATAAGTTTACTGATAAAAGTTATGAGTTACTTTCAATATAGACAAAAAAGACTGAGGCCACTTTGGCCATTGGAAAAGATCTGAGACCCCCCAGTGCTGAAGGAGAGGTCAGAAGCTCCTTTCATTCATACATCTGTTTTAAAGAGCTTTGGTTCTGTTGCGGTGGGACTATAGCCTTCTTGAGAATTGGTGGAGTGAATTCTGCATCCTGGTTCAGAAGAGTTGTGCCTGAGCACCCAGTGAGTCCTGGAAAATAATTTGAGCTCCACTTCAGTCACTGGGGCAAAGGATGAGTCCTCCTGGGCCTGAAGGAATAAGTCTGAGGCCCCTTTGTCAGAAAATAATATTGGAGAACCTCTGTACAGAATGAGAATGAAGCATCCAGAGAAACGGAATTTTGAGTACAAAATTTTCTGTTTTTAGAGACAGAAAGCCTTATGCTATTTTGGGGAATGCAGAAAGGTCAAAGACTCTTGTGGGAAGCATGGAATATCAAGAGTCAATTTGGGAATTAAAGAAGTCTGAACATTTCCTGATCAATCTTCATGGGAATGTAGAATATCCATGTCTTGCAGTGCAGGCAGCAGTGTGATCAGTCTTCAACATGCTAGGAGGCAATGTCTCTGGACCAAATCAGTTAACTACTTCTGTTCCTGTGATTTATTCATTTTTTTATTTCTCCTGATCAAGTTAAGGCATATATACTGGGTTTAGGGCACTGCTGGATGTTCTAACGCTCTAAAACTTCAGGCACCAGGGTAGTTTTATTTTTGGACAGAGGCTTTGAAGTCAGATGATTAGAATAAGAAACACTCAGAACTTCTTAGACAGAGGGAGTTAATCTGTCACCCGCTAAACCATATGAAGTAAGTCTCGGGCAACATTAGTCAGAATAAGCACATGCTATTCTCAGTGGGTAATAGATTGTTTATCATGTTCTGTGTAGAAACTGTGACCTATTAATAATCAGATGGAAAATGCCTGCCTTCTTTATAGTCAAATGAACCAATCTGATGCCTCAATGTACATCTGGAATAGCCGGGAATGGAAATTCAAGGTTTAACGGGTTTTTGATGAGTAGGAAAAGTTATAAACTCATGTGGTTTATGTGAGACACAGAGTAGAAAAATATGAGGCTGGCCTGTGCATAAGATGATATAAAGATGGCATGATAACAGAGAGTATTCCCTCTTGAGATGAGCATTTTTAGAACTTCAGTTTGACAGGTGTGTAAGGTTTGAAGCCTCCATGGGCAGAAGGATTGTATTGTGGGCTTCCTGGGGCAGAAATTGAAGTTTTAACCCACTCTACATTAGAGGGCACATTTCTGTATTCCCTTTGGTGACAAGGAGGAAATCTGAGGCTCAGTGTTTTAGATGGGCTATTCTTGAGGCTCTCTCTTTCAGATTGAAACATTCTAAAGCTGCCTTGGATGGGGTGGCCACAGGAAAGTCTGAGGCCCGTTTGGTCACACTGAGAAGACCTGGTGCCTTCTTGAGGGCAGAGGTAAGAGCTAAGGCTCTTTTTTGGCAAGGGGATCCTTCGGAGATTGCATGGGAATGAACGTGAATATCTGTGGCCTCCTAGGACAGAAGGGTTACATATGGGGGTCCCATGTTCATATTGGAAGCCTGTGTCTCTTCCTTGGTAAGAAAGGGAAGATCTCAGGTCTGCTAGTTGAGGTCGACTATGTCTGAAATTTCCTTGGATAACAGGGAATGATGTGGCACTCGCTTTTGGAATTGGTGAATATATGAGTCCCCACTGTACAGGAATCCATGCCCCACTCCCCTCTCTGGCACCAGTGGAAGGTTTCTGTCCCTCTTGAACAGAAAGAGTGTGTTTAAAGTCCTCCTTTGTAGAAACAGGATGTCTGACATCATTGCATTCGGGTGATGAGAAAGACTTGACACTCCCAGTGGGACTGTCTCCATCTGGAGATGACCTGAAGCTTTGTTGGGCCTCACTGGGAGTTTTGATGACTTCTTGAGTATAAGGGGAATGCCAGAGTCTTGTTTTGGTAGAAGAAGAAGTAAGGCTGGAAGTCTCATGAGGAGAGATAGAATGTCTGAGAGTCTCTTCATGAGAGGGAGTAGTTCCTATGTCCTCTTCTGCAGACGTGGAAGCTTCTATGCTCTCTTGGGGAGTAGCGTTTGGTTCCTTGTCCCTTTTGACAGATGAAGCATGTCTAAATCCTCTTTGTGACAATGGGAGATTCTTACAGCCCTTATGTTCTGTATGGGAAGCATGCACATCTACTTTGTTAGAGGGGGCCTGTTCCAATTTAGTTTTGATAGACCTGGAATGTCGATGATTGCCTTGGGGTGATGCAGAACTTCTGCCGCCCTCCTCATGAGACTGTGAGGATCTGCAGCCTGCCATAGAGAGGGAAGATTCTATGCATTCTTGAGGAGTAGCTTTTGGTTTCTGGTCCCTTTTGGAGGATGAATTTTTGGACTCTGTTTTGGACAAAAAGTGTAGTTTGCAGACCTCATGTTCTGAATGGGAAACATGAACATCTGTTTTGTTAGAGGGAACCTGTTCCAATTTGATTTTGGAAGATCTGGAACATCTAGGGCTGCCTTGGGAAGATGGAGAACATTTGAGGACCTCCTCATGAGATCGGGAGGATCTACAACCTCCCTTAGCAGAAGTAGTAGTGGGGCTCTTTTTGGGATCACTTTTAGGCCTTGCATTAACTTTGTTAGAAACTGTATCTCTGCCCTCCTTTTTGGGAGAATGGTGAAATTTCAACCCTTTTTCTTCTGATGGGACAGATTTGAGGCATGATTCTTTAGAATCATGTTTTGATTTTGTTTTCTTTGATTTTGAATGTCTGGAGCCACCTTGTGGAGAGGGAGAACATCTGAAATATTTTCTAGAAGGGGAACTAGATCTGAAGTTCAATTCTGATGATTCTGGGGGTGAGACACTCCTTGGAGGAGTAGAGGTAGAACTTGAGTTCTTTCTGACATATATGGAAGATGTGAGCCTACTTTTGGCAGAAGATGATCTTAAGACATCTAGTTCTGAAAGTGAATATCTGATATCTCCTTCAGGAAATGGAGCATGCCTTGGTATTTTTTTGGTAGAATTGAAATGTCTATGGCTTTTATTAGGATAAGAGGAATATCTCAGACAGTCACCATGAGAAGGAATTGGAATAAAGTCGTCATGTGCACAAGTGGACAATCCCCAAACCTCCGTTGAAAAAGAAGTTCCTACACCTTCTTGGGTAGATGGCATAGGTTCTAGAACCCCTTGGGATGGTTTGAGGTTTCCAAGAGTCTCATGGAGAGGTGTTGATGGCTGCAGACTTCCTTGATCATGTAATGAAGGTCCTAGAGTACATTGGTCAGAGGTCAAATGTCTCAGAGCCTCTAAAAAAGATGGTAAAGATTCCAGAGCACCTGACTCAGATTCTGAAGTCTTACAAACCTCTTTGACTGTTGGCAAAGGTTCTGAGGTTTCTGATATAACAGAAGGTTGCAGAGTCTTCACTGAAGGAGGCAGATGTTCTAAATAATCTTGGGAAATTGTTGAAGTTTTTGTAATCCCTTTGTTAGAAGATGGCATTTCTAAAATACTTTGGGTAAATAGTGGAGCTTCTAGTATCTCCTGATCTGAGTCAGAAAGTCCAAGATTTCCTGCTTCAGATGATGACTTTCCTAAAGACGCATGGTCCAAAGAAGGGCCTGAAGCCTCTTGGGATGACAAAGACATATCTGGAGAGCCTTGAGCAGATGATGAATGTCCGAATGATTCCTGTGCTGATTTGGGCAGTCTGAGGGCCTCTTGTGAATATAATGAATTTCCTGTATAGCCTTGCTGAGAGGGTGAATCTCCTTGTATACTTGAAGATATTTCCAGACAACCTTGTTCTGAGGGGGAGAGCGACCCAGTCCCAGATGCAGGTGGAGTGGGTCTCAGAGACCATTGTTCAGAAGGAGAATGCCCCAGGGATTCCTCCAGAGATACTGATGGTCCTAAAATTACTTTTTCAGATACAGACAGTCCTATGGTACTTTGGTCACAGAACAAAATTTCCAGACATCCTGGGGTAGATGGCAAAGTATCTGAAGTTCCTGGGGAAGAGTCTGATACATTATAAGCCTTTTTGGTAGATGGCAAAGGTTCTGATGTCTCTGTCATAAGGGGAGCCTGTTGTAGAATCTGCACTGAAGGAGGCAGATGTCCTAGAGAATCTTGGGCTGGTAATGCAGTGTGTATAATACCATGAGTAGAAGATGGTATTTCTAGAATGTTATGGGTAGAAGGTGGTGTTTCTGGAGGTCCCTGTAAATATTCAGATACTCCAAGATCTCCTAGATCAGATAATGATAATGATAATAACTGCCCTGAAAGCCCTTGGTCCAAACAAGTGCCTGAAGCCTCTTCAGGTGACAAGGAAGTATCTGGAGACCCTTGAGCAGAGGGTGAATGTCCATCTGAAGGCATGGACAGTCCCAGAGCCTCTTGTGAATGCAATGAATTTTCTGTATAGCCTTGCTGAGAGGGTGAATCTCCTTGTACACCTGAAGATATTTCCTGACAATCTTGTTCTGAGGGGGAGAATGACCCAGTCCCAGGTGCAGGTGGAGTGGGTATCAGAGACCCTTGCTCAGGAGGGGAATGTTCCAAGGATTCCTCCAGAGATACTGATGATCCTAAAATTTCTTTTTCAAATACAGATGGTGCTATAGCTATAGTAGTTTGGTTAGAGAATGAAATTTCCAGAGATCCTGGGGTAGATTGAAAAGTTTCTGAACTTCCTGGGGAAGAGTCTGTTACATTACAAGCCTCTTTGGTAGATGACGATGGTTCTGATGTCTCTGTCATAAGGGAAGCCTTTTGTAGAATCTGCACTGAAGGAAGCAGATGTCTTAGAGAATCTTGGGCAGGTGGTGAAGTTTCTATAATCCGATGAGTAGAAGACAGCATTCCTACAGTGCTATGGTTAGATGGTGATATTTCTAGAGGCCCCGGTGAATATTCAGATAGTCCAAGATCTCCTAGATTAGGTAATGATAATGACAATGACTGCCCTGAAATCCCTTGGTCCAAACAAGTGCCTGAAGCCTCTTCAGGTGAAAAGGAAGTATCTGGAGACCCTTGAGCAGAGGGTGAATGTCTCAGAGATTCTTGTGCTGATATGGACAGTCCTAGAGTCCCTTGTGTAGACAATGCATTTCCTGAACAGATTTGCTGCAGGGGTGAATCTTGTAAAGTCACTTTTTCACATGAATATATTTCTTGTAAACCTTTTTCTGTTAGTGAAGTTCTATCAGGTCCCATTTGAGATGAGGCAGTTTTCATAGACTGTTGTTCAGATTGAGAAAATTTCAGAGATTTGTGGGAAACTGTTGGTGATCTCAGTATCCCTTGGTCAGTTATAGAAGGGCCTGCTGTGCCTTTGGCAAATGTTGAAAAACTCAGTGTCTTTATAATAGATGTCAAAGTTTCTAGACACCTTGAGAGAGATTTCAAAGTACTATAAATCTCTTCAGAAGTTGGCAAAGGTTCTTTTGTCTCTGAAGCAAATTGGGAAGTACCCAGAGGCTGCTCCAAAGAAGTCTGAATTTCTAGAAAGCTTTGAGCTGATGGTAAACTTACTATAGACCCTTGGGCAGATGTTTGAGTTTTCCTAGCCCCTTTTGTAGATAGTGATAGTGATGTTCCTATAGTATCTTTTGAAGGTCGAGAAAGTCCAAAATCTTGTGGAGTAGATGATGAATTCTCTAAAACCTCTTGGGCTAAAGAAGTGCCTGGATCCTCTTCAGAAGATGTGAACATTCCTGGAGACTTTTGCTCAGATTTTGAATGTCCTACAAACTTTTGTGCTGATATGGAAGTTCCAAGAGCCCTTTGCACAGATAATGAATCTCCTAAATACTCTTGCTGTGGTGGGGAAGAGTCTAGAAACACTTGGGAAGATATAGACAATTTTGGGCACAATTGGGCTGATAATAAAGATTGGGTGGTACCTAGTACAGATGGAGTAGGTCTCAGTGAGCCATTAGAAGGTGGAGAAAAATGAACCAATTTTTGGAGAGATGATGGTGATTCCTGAATCTGTTGGTCAGAATCAGAAGGGAACAGAACACTATGGGCAGATATTGAATCGCGTAGAGTTTCTGGGAGAGGTGGCAACGTTTCTAGAGTCATGGATGAAGATTCTGAACATTTCAAAACCATTTGGGGAGATGTCAAAGTTTCTGATGAATTAGGAGTACATTGGGAATGTCCCAGATACCCTGAGGAATGAGGTTGAAGTTGCTGAGCACCATGCACATCTAATGAACCTTCTCTATCTCTCTGGAGAGAAGATGATGTTTCTGGAGTAACTTGGGAAGATGACAATTTTTTCAATATTCCCTGGGCAGAGAGATAATGTGTTTCTCCTGGGACAGATGGGGATTGTGCTACAGACCCATGATGATAAGAAGAGTCCTGTGCTTTGTGGGAAGATGTGGATTTCATTGACCTTTCAGAAGATGACACATTTTCAACTCTCCCTTTTGTAGATGATAATATTTTCAAAGCCCCTTGGGAAGATGACAATGTTTCCCTAATCCCTTTTCCAGGAAAAGAATTTTCCAAAGACTTTTGGGCAAATAATGTAGGTCTTAAATCTCCTGTGGCAGAAGAAGATTCCCCAACACTTCCAGCATATTGTGAGTTCTCTAGTGACTCATTTGCTAATGAGGAAATTTTCATTTGTTCCAGAGCAGATGATAAAGCTTCTAGATCATCTGAACTACTTGGAGCACATTCCAAAACAATTTGTGGTGATATCAAAGTTTTGAGTCCCTCCTTGGCAGATTGTAAAGGTTTCAAATTCCCTATTAAAGGTGCTAAGTGTTTTTGAGCCTCTTGGGTAGACTTTGAATTAACCAGAGACCCCTGTTCATATATAGAAAGTTGTTCAGGCTGTTTGCCAGCTAGCATATGTCCAAGAACCCTTGGACCAGATATAGAGGATTTCAGACTGCCTGTGGCAGAAAGAGAATTTTTGACATATTCAGAGTTAGATGACAAAATTTCAAGAGACTCTTGGGAAGATTTCAAACTTTCCTGAGTCCTCTGGTGGGTTGAATAATGTTTAAGAGCTCCTTCTCTAGGTGGTAAATGTTCTAAAGCATATTGGGCACACTGGTCCTCTTGTGCTAATGGTAAAGATTCAAGATGTTTTTGTTTACATTTGGCCTTTCCCTTAAATCCTTTGGCAGATAAAGAAGGTTTCAAGGCTTCCACGTCAGCTTTAGAAATGGACAGATCCCCTTGGGTATAGGTAAAATTTTCTGGAGACTTTGACAGAGAAGGAGAATATCCCTGAAGGCCTGGAACAGATGGTAAATGACATACACCCTTTGGGACAGAAAGAGAAGGCCCTTGAATCTCTTGGGAAGATTTGTAATGTTCACGAGGCCCTTGGTTAGAATGGCAAGGTTCCACAATCTTTTGTTCAGATGTGGAACATTGCTGGGCCTTTTGGATAGATATAGAAGGTGACGGACTTATCTGAGGAATACTTGTAGTGGTTGATGCTTCTTTCAGAGCAGTAGAAGATGCACATACCCTTTTTGAGAAAGGCAGGAGTATGAAACTTCCTTCCTCACATGAGGAAGTTCCAAAGTCCCCTTCGTCAGAAGGATCATCTCTCAACCTCTTTTTGGTAGAAATGGAACAACCAGGGTCCACTTGGGTAGAGGGAGCATGTTTAATATTTCCCTCCTGAGAAGAGCTATGCATGAAACTCTCTTGTGCAGATGGGGAAGATGGTAAAGTGTTTTCATGAGATATGGTAAATCCTAGGGCCTCTTGCTCAGAAGGGGAATGTGCTACTGTGTCAGGTGTACATGTGCGTATTTTTACTACAGCTTCAGAATGAGGGGAAATTTCTAGAACCTGTGTAGGTGTGGTATCCTCTAAAGTTTCCTGTGCATGTGGAGTAGGTCTAAAATCCTCATGGGCAGCTAAGGAAGTTCCTGGAGCTCCTTGTGTAAATGTGGAAGTTTTAGGAACACTTTCTTCAGGTGAAGAATGTAATGAAGCCTTTTGTATAGAGATGTTAGGTTCTAGAGACAGTTTGGTGGACAAAACAGCTTCCAAGGACCCTTGGGAAGATAAGGTAGACAAAACAGGTTTCAAGGACCCTTGGGAAGATAAGGTGGAATTCAGAGCCTTCGGGGTATTGGTTGGATGTTCTGGAGTCACTTGTGGGCATGTAGAAAGACTAACATCCCTTTGTGCAGGTGGAGAATGGCCTATAGCCTCTTGTGTAGCTGTAACAGATTGCTGATACCCTTGAGGAGATGGAGAAATTTCCACAGCCTCCTGTGAAGAGTGGAGAGGTCCTGTGGGTGTTTGTGGGCAGGTAGAATCTGAAGAATTCCCTTCTCTCGATGTGAAATTTGCTACAAATTCTTGTGTACATGTGTCACATCCATGAGCCATTTCTAATGATGGGGATGAGTCTGGAACCCCATCTGCAGATGTATTCTGTCCCACAGTCCCTTTATCACATATGGTAGAACACAAAAAGTGCTGGACAGGTTGTAAATGACCAGGTAATTCTTCTGTATATGTAGAAATTTCACGAGCCTCTCCTACACATGTGGAAAGTCCTAGAGACTTCTGAGGAAGAAGGGAAGGCTGTATTGTCTTAGCACCCTGGGTAGTTGTGAAGCATGCTTGGCTCATTTGAACACTCTTGGCATATCTTTGTCCTTTTTGTTTCCGATGACGAATCAGAAGGGCCTTTTTGATTGGCAGGGTATATTTAGAGCCCTTTTGGTCTGATAGGGATATTGCAAATCTACCTTGCTCAGAAGGAGGATCTAGCCTTCTCTTTTTGCAATAGTAGACATATCCATTGTCCATTTTCATATCTGGATTAGGTTTGAATTTCCCTTTGTGAGAGAGAATAGGTCTTTGACCCATTTCTCTAGATGTAGGCAATTCTGGAGTCCTCTTGACAGATACGGAAGGACTCAGAACCCCTAGGGAAGTTGAAGTGTGTGCTAGAGTACTCTGTGTATGTTGAGAAGGAACAAGGGTCACTTGGGTAGACTTGGGAGTTCCTAGCATCTCTTGTAGATATGTGGAATTCTCTAGGGCCCCTTCTGAAGATGGCAAAGGTTCTGGAATCCCTGATGTAGATGTAGATAGTTTTGTTTCTGCTTGGGTAGGCATGAGTGGTGTGAGGCTCACTTGGGGAGTAGTGATAGGGCTTGGTTCCCCCTGTGCTGTAAGGGAAGATTCAAGCCCACTTTCTGGTGGCAGACATTTAAAGCCCTCTTGCTTTGATGGGGAAGTTATAAAATTCCCTTGGTCAGAGGAGACAGGACTCAAGCTCACTTCAGCAGATACGGATGGCTTAGGGTCATTTGGGGGAGAGGGAAAACAGCCTTGGCTTTCTTCATGAGAGGGTGTAGATCTCCATTCATCTTTGGCAGCTGTCATAGGTGTTAAACTTCCCTGAGGAGAGGGGGTAGGACTCAGTCCAGTTTGGGAAAATGAGAAATCAGTGAACACCCCTTTTCGAGAAAAACATCTGCAGCTCTCTTTGTCTAATGGGGCCTGCTCTAGGTCCCCTTGATCAGAAGGGGCTTGTCGAAAACTCTTTGGTGGAGAATCAGAATGATTGGTGATCCCTTGGCTGGAGGATGGACTTTTGAAACCCCTTCTGGAAAGGGAGACATGTTTGATTTTCCTTTCAGCACAAGGGGGAGGTTTCTTGGATGCCTGGGAAGATATGGAATGCCCCATAGACCCTTGATCACATTGGCTTCCTCCCAAAACCTCTCCCGTGGATAGGGATAGTACCTGAGCATCTTGGGAAGAAGTGGAAGATCCCAGAGCTCCTTGAATAGGGGAAGATGGATTCAGGGAACCTTGACATGGTGGGGAAATTACCAGTCCACGTTGGTCAGTGGAAGAGTCATCAGTAGACGGCCCAGGCTCTGTGTCATCCTCATTGACATTTTCACTGGTGTCTCCAGCGCAGTGTCTTGGAGATGTTGCAGACACTCTGGTGCCCGAATGGTCGAAGTCCATAGGCTCTTCAAACACAGTAGACATATCCAGGCATCGTTGCACCTTCCCAGGTCTGTGCACAGAAGTTGGGGCCACTCTTTTTCTGGTGGCAGGAGGTAATACAGATGGTCTGGGTTCCCTGCTCAGTGGGTTACTCCTGCAGCCAGGAACCTCTGGAGGAAGTGGATCTTGTCCTTCCTTGATCTCTTTCAGCTCCTTTAAGGGGTCCAGGGTCTTTTTACTGGATTTAGTCTTTATCAGAGCTCTAAGACTCCGCAGTCTATCTGCAGTGCCAGTGTTGCGGATTTTGAATGTTTTGTCCTCATAAGGCTTTTGGCACCTGAACTTGTGCCGAGCCAGTCGAAGCACCCCCGGAGGTGCAAAGTCCCTCGGGAATTTGGTGCTGGTCAAGTATGTCTCCCATTGGGATGCTCTGTCATCAATCCCTTGGGGGACACTGAACGGGGTCCCAGGCCGGGGGCATCGGAAAGGGGTCCCAGGCCTATGAGGCCAGCACTTACCACGTTGGGATAGGATGCCATTATCCCATTGGGGGACCCAGAAGGGGGACCCAGGACGGGGTCCACTGAAGGGGGTCCCCGGCCGGGGAGGCTGGGAAATCTGTGGTCTCTGGTCAGAGTGTGATGGACCAGCTGAGGCCCACTGGCCTCTCTCCACAGGTTTGGCCATTTAGCCAATAAGATAGTTGAAAAGTAAAAAGGGAAATGACCCCTCACAAGGGGCAGCGAATGTACTTGCTGATGGTGATACTCCACAAGCAGCAGCTGAGCAATATCCTCAGACAGAGAGGCTCTCCTTCCCGAGAACCGTGGACACGTCTGGTAGACGAAGCGCACAGAACTCGAGTGACAGTTGTCCTCAGAATTTGAGGAAAGCTCGAGAACTCCACTTGGAATGGATGACCTCAGACCTGCACGGGCCAATCCCGAGCTGTCTCAGCTGGTGGTTCTACGTGTGCTAGCCAGGCAAACATCCGAGCTTTCTGAATGAGGGCACCTTGGACCCTCTCTTCTTCATTAGGGTCGAGAGTGCTAGGTGGTCTGGTGCCCACTGTCAGTGACCGGTACATGGACTATTGAAGAGGCAACATGATTGGGAAGGCAAAGGGTGCTCGGGAGACTTTGCTTTCGGGTTCCTCTTACACCCGTCTGGACCCGCTGTCATGACGTCGTCAGGGCTGCAGTTAGGTCTGTTTGAGCCTCATAACTGAATGAGAAAGAGTGATCTAGACGTTTGCTTCTCAGAGACTGCGGGGGCCAGGCAATCACTGGTTGAGCTAGGGAAAGAATAAGTGTAGTGATTGAATATTTTGAGAATTCGCAGTACATTTCAGTACCCCATTGTTTAATTAGGTTAATTAGAGTTTTACTGTCTAGTTTCTTGAAATCTTTATATATTTTGGAGATCAGACCTTTGTCTAATGTGGGGTTGCTGATGATCTTCTCCCAATCAGTAAGTTGCCTTTTTGACTTAATGACAGTGTCCTTTGCTTTACAGAAGCTCTCAGTTTCAGGAGGACCCATTTATTCATTGTTGCTCTTACGAACTGTGCTACTTGGGTCCTGCGTAGGAAGTGCTCTCCTGTGCCCATGTCTTGTAGACTACTTCCCACTTTCTTTTCTATCAGGTTAAGTGTGTTCAGAATAATATTGAGGTTTTTAATCCATTAGGACTTGAGTTTTGTGCATGGTGATAGATATGGATCTATTTTCATTATTCTGCAGGGTGACAGCCACTTATGCCAACACAATTTGATGAAGATGCTTTCTTTCTTCCATTGAATAATTTTAGCTCCTTTGTTGAAAATCAGGTGTTCATAGGTTTGTGGATTAATATTTGGGTCTTTGCTTCGATTCCATAGGTCGACTTCTCTGTTCTTATGTCAATACCAAGCTGTTTTCATTACTGTAGCTCTGTAATAGAGTTTGAAGTCACGGATGGTAATGCTTCCAGAAGTACTTTTATTGTACAGGATGGTTTTGGTTATACTTGGCCTTTTGTTTTTCCATATAAAATCGATTATTGTTCTCTCAAGTTCTGAGAGAAATTTTGTTGGGATTTTGAAGGAAATTGCATTGAATCTATAGGGTGCTTTTGGTAGAATTGCCATTTTTACTGTGTTGATCCTCCCTATCCAAGAGCAAAAGAGATCCTCCCATTTTCTGGTATCCTCCTCAATTTCTTTCTTCAAAGACTTAAAGTTCTTGTCAAATTGATCTTTCACTTCTTTGTTTAGAGTTACTCAAAGATATTTTATGCTATTTGTGGCTATCGTGAAAGGTGATGTTTCTCTGGTTTCCTGTTTATTTCCCTGTTCTTTGTATATAGGAGGGCAACTGATTTTTTGGAGTTATCTTGTATCCTGCCACATTACTAAAGGAGTATATCAGCTGTAGGAGTTCTTTGATAGAGTTTTGAGGGTCGCTTATATACACTATTATATCGTCTGCAAATAATGAATGTTTGACTTCTTCATTTCCACTTTGAGTCCCCTTGACCCCTTATGTTGTCTTATTGGTATTGCTAGAACTTTAAGCAGTATATTGAAGAGGTATGGAGAGAGTGGACAGCCTTGTCTTGTTCCTGATTTTAGTGGGATGGTTTTGTGTTTCTCTACATTTATTTAATGTTAGCTGTCAGCTTGCTGTGTATTGCTTTTTATTATATTAAGGAATGAACATTTTATCCCTAATCTCTCCAAGACCTTTTTCATAATGGGGTGTTGAATTTTGTCAAATAATTTTTCAGCATCTAATGAAATGATCATATGGGTTTTTTTTTTCCTACAGTTTATTGATATGATGGATAACATTGAAAGATTTTCATATGTTGAACCAGCCCTGCCTCTCTGGAATGACGCCTCCTTGATCACAATGAATAATTTTTCTAATGTGTTCTTGAATGCGGTTTGCCAGTATTTTATTGAGAATTTTTGCATTGATGTTCTTTAGTGATATTTGTCTGTAATTTACTTTATTGGTTAAGTCTTTGTGTGGTTTTGGTATCAGGGTGACTGTATGTTCATAAAAGGAGTTTAGCAATGACTCCTCTCTTTCTGTTTTGTGAAACAAATTAAAAAGTATAGGTATTAGTTCTTCTTGGAAGTTCTGGTAGAATTCTGCGTTGAAACTATTTGTTCCAGGACTTTTTTTGGGAAGAATGTTTCTGAAGACAGTTTCTATTTTCTCACGAATTACAAGTCTATTTAAACTGTTCACCTGTTCTTGATTTAATTATGGTGTATGCTATTTAACTTAAAAAGTGTCTATTTCTTTCAGATTTTCCAATTTTGTGGCATACAAGCTTTTTTTAATTAATTTATTTGTTTGTTTACAAAAATTTCCACTTCCTCCCCTCCTCCCCATACCCTGCCATTCCCCCCACTTCCTCTCCTGCCCCCACTCCCTCTCATCCTCCCTCTCCAGTCCAAAGAGCAGTCATGGTTTCCTGCCCTGTGGGAAGTTCAAGTTCCTCCCCCCTCCCTCCAGGTCTAGGAAGGTGAGCATCCAAACAGATTAGGATCCCAAACAGCCAGTACATGCAGACGAAACAAGACCCAGTGCCATTATCAATGCCTTCTCAGTCAGCCCCCATGTCAGCCACATTCAGAGAATCTGGTTTGATCACATGCTCATTCAGTCCCAGTCCAGCTGGCCTTGGTGAGCTCTCAGTAGATCAGTCCCCTTGTATCAGAGGATGAATGCACTCTTCATGGTCCTGACTTTCTTTTTTATGTTCTCCCTCCTTCTCCTTCTCATTTGGACCTTGGGGGCTCAGTCCAGTGCTCCAATGTGGGTCTCTGTCTCTATCTCCATCCATCGTCGGATGAAGGTTTCCTCTGGTTCTGCCTTAGTTGCTCACGTTCTCTTTCCTTCTGCTTCTCGTTTGGACCTAGGGAGTTAACTCCAGTGTTCTGATATGTGTCTCTGTCTCTATCTCCACCCATCACCAGATGAAGGTTCTATGGTAACATGCAAAATATTCATCAGTATGGTTATGGGCCAAGGCCAGTTCAGGCACCGTCTCCTCTGTCCAGTGAACAATCTGGGGATCTCTCCTTGGGCCTGAGAACCCCTCCAGAAACAAGTCTCTTACCAACCCTAAAATGGCTCCCTTAGTTGAGATATATACTTCCCTGCTCCCATATCCATCCGTCCTCTCCCCATCTCATTCCCCCACACCATTCCCAATCCTCCCACTCTCCCTTCTCTCTAACCATCTCCCCTTACTTCCATCCCCCCACACACACCCCCGTGCACCCAAGTTTGCCTTGCAATCTTGACTACTTCCAATATCCAGGAGGATAACTACATGATTTTCTTCAGGTTCACCTTCTTATTTAGCTTCTCTACGATCATAGGCTCAAAGACCTTTAACTATGGCTAGAATCCACTTATGAGTGAGTACATACCATATTCCTCTTTTTGGGTCTGGGTTACCTCACTCAGTAAAGCATTTTCTATTTCCATCCATTTGCATGCCAAATTCAAGATGTCATTATTTTTTACTGCTGAGTAAAACTCTAATGTGTATACGTTCCACACCTCTTTTAATCATTCTTCTATGGAGGGGCACCTAGGCTGTTTCCAGGTTCTGGCTATTACAAATAGTGCTGCTATGAACATAGTTGAACAAATGCTTTTGTAGTATGATAGGGCCTCTCTTGGGTATATTCCCAAGAGTGGAATTGCTGGGTCCTGAGGGAGGTTGACTCCCAGTTTCCTGAGAATCCGCCACACTGATTTCCACAGTGGCTGCACAAGTTTGCATTCCCACCAACAATGGATGAGTGTTCCCCTCATTCCACATCCTCTCCAGCATAGGCTATCATTGGTGTTTTTGAGTTTTGCTATTCTGACAGGTGTAAGATGGTATCTCAAAATTGTTTTGATTTGCATTTCCCTGATCACTAAGGATGTTGAGCATGACCTTAAGTGTCTTCTGGCCATTCAAATTTCTTCTGTTGAGAATTCTCTGTCCAGTTCAGCACCCCTTTTTTTTAATTGGGTTAACTAGAGTTTTAGTGTCTAGTTTCTTGAGTTCTTTGTATATTTTAGAGATCAGACCTTTGTATGATGAGGGGTTGGTGAAGATCTTCTCCCAGTCGGAAGGTAGCCTATTTGTCTTTCTGATGGTGTCCTTTGCTTTACAGAAGCTTCTCAGCTTCAGAAGGTCCCATTTATTCATTGATTCTCTTATTGTCTGTGCTATGCTAGGAAGTGGCCTCCTGTGCCTATATCTTGTAGACTACTTCTGAATTTCTCTTCTATCAGGTTCAAAGTAATGATTGTGGACTCATATCTCACCCTGCTTAGAGAAATTCTTCTTCTAGTACTGCAGATTGAGTTTAGAGCCTTGTATGTTCTATGCAAACAAGTTTGAGAGATAGGGTCTCTCAATTGGTAAGACTAGCCATGAACTCTTTCTGTAGTCAACACTAGCCTTGAATTTAGGATTCTTCTGCCTCAGCATCATGAATAGCTGGGATTAATTGCCAAGACTACATCACCAGGCCTATCATTTAAAAAACTGTCAGTGAATATTATTGAAAAGGTGTTTTTTGCTGACATTTTCATATATGCATATGGCATGCTTTGATTATATTCACCCTTACTATATGTACTTGTGCTCTAATTCCTTTGATTGTCATGGATTATCCCCTTTCTGCTTTAATATTCTGTGTGTGTGTGTGTGTGTGTGTGTGTGTGTGTGTAAGCATTTGTGTGGGTGACAGAGAATAATCACTTTGCTGTCTACTTCATTATTTTGAGAAAAGTCCCTGACTGGAGGGAGTCTTCTCTCTTCTTCTTCAATACTGAGAATACAAGTATGCATCATCACTCCCCTATTAAAAAAATGTGGATTTTGAGAGTTGAATTCAGGTCCTCTTGCTTGTATAGCAAACAATTCACTGATTGAGCCATTTACCCAGCCCCCTAAGACTTAAAAATTATTTTTATTAATTTTGTAT